AGTGGCTCTACACCCACTCTTGGCTAGTGGAATTGATATGTTCCACTTCTTTCTTGATGTATTTATATGTTCCACGATTTTGGATTTATATGTTCCACTTCTCTCTTGATGTATTTTGTGGTTTTTTCTGGTGATGATCTTCGTAGGCTTGCCTTAATCAAAGCCATGACATAACTTGGAATGTTCCTCTTTATCACCTTTTCCACCAAGTAATTCTGATTTAGCAAACACCAACTAAATGGTTTGAACAAAAAAAGCAAAATATTGCTTTAACTAACGAATCACCTTAACTCCAATTCTCTACATGGGTATGTATCGTTTCAAATATGAAAAAGGGCTGATAGAATCTTTATGGATTAAACAGAAATAGCTAGTAGAGAATTATGAGTTTTAAGCGTAATCAAAGGAAAATAACAATATCGTGTTATATAGAGGATGTGTTGAAAGGGGTAGGTTCGGTTAGGGCTTGTTAAAGCAATCTTCGAAACAAAGATAATCAACTATAGTATTAGGAGAGATGGAATATCAGAATGTTTCTTCATTAATTGTAAGAGTTTGATTGGTTCACCTGCTACCACCCGCAAACGCTGTGTTTGCGTTTACGGGTGGTAGTGGTTGTTGGCATTTGACAACAATCATGGAAAACGCTTTATACCGCTCCTCTTCGCTTCAAACCTCTCAAAATTAAAAGCTGCTTTCCTCGAGCGTTTACGGTTGCGCGTGTTTGCGATTGGATAATTAGAATAAAAATTATTAAAAAAAAGAATAGAAAGTTTATATAAAAAATCAAAATATAAATAATAAACTAAAAATTAATTTTTGGATACTATAATTAATATTCAATAACTTATCATAATTTTATATTTATAAAATCTTCAAACCATAATTCTTTCAATAAATTTTTTTATCACTGATTAATAAATTTGATAAACTAAAATGTTCAAAATGTAACATTAACCTCTCCAAAATAAAAATTTTCTCCATTTAAATCATAACTTTTATCTAAACTAAAAAATTAAAAAATGAACGTAAGAAATATACTCATGG